CCATCGTTTGAATCTCGCATTGTCAAATGCCATGTCAGTTCCACCTGTTCGAAATTGCCTTGGGATTGTGAACGATGTCGTGAACTTATTCAGAAACCACGCTTATGCGACGAAAATTCTTCAAGATCTCATCCAAGAACATGTTCCGCAGAGTAAAAAGAAGAGGCTTATTCGTCTTTGCGAAACAAGATTCATCGAACGACATGACAGCATACTATCTTTTGTAGAACTGTTTCAAATCATCCACATGGGATTAGAAGAAATTTCAGAAAAATCTTGGGCTATTTCGAAAACTGCGGCCTGCTTACTTGCAGCAGTTCAGAAAAGTGAGTTTCTCGTCAGTCTCTTGGTTTGTAACAGAGTTTTCAGTATCACGCTTCCTTTATCAGTTCAACTGCAAGAAAAATCACGTGATTTGGCATCAGCAGTAGAGCATGTTCACGAAATCGTGAATATGCTTCAAGAAGAACGAACAACTGCAGACGTATCGTTCAGCAAAATTTTTATAGCAGCTGAAAAGCTTGCAAACGATACATTCGATATGGAGCTGAAAGTTCCGAGACTCACGTCGAAGCAAACAACTCGTTCCAATTATCAAACAGACTCTGTTGAATCGTACTTTCGGTCTGCTGTTTTTATTCCTTGCCTCGATACGCTAATTCAGAATTTGTCTGACAAATTTCTTAATGAGAACGCGGGCATCTTATCAAGCTTACAGATACTTCTCCCTGGATTTGCTGCAATTAACAAAGTAGATGACTTGCATCATCTTTCGCCATACTTTGATGATCGAGTCTCAGAATCCGCTGTAAAAGCTGAGTATAAGTTGTGGTGTGAGAAATTATCGGGACTCGAGAAAGATGCCGAGGCTTTACAAGTATTGGATTTTTGTGACAAGAGCAGATTTCCAACAATCAAATATCTATTAACAGTTTTGGCAACTCTTCCGGTAACAGCAAGTGTGGAAAGGTCATTTTCGACAATGAAAAGAATCAAGACTTACTTACGTAACTCAACGGGCAACGAAAGACTTAGTGCACTCGCCGTACTGTCAATTCATGGAAACTTAGGTATCGATCCGAATGAGGTTCTTGAGATTATGGCAGCAAAGAAATCGCGAAAGTTAAAATTTTAAATTTTGTCTACTATAATTGACGCTTTTGTTTGACAATTAATGTGTATGTATGCGTGACTGACAGTTAAAATGCAGTGATGATATTAGTAACAATAAAGCAGTTTTTCACTAATGAGTCCAACTTTAATAACAAATATCCTTACAAGACCCCCATCAACCATTTCCGCCCCCCTTCCCCAAAAAATTATTACTACGTTTTGGGCCCCCTCCAAACCAAATTTCTGGCTACGGGCCTGATACAGAGGAGTAGATAACATCACATCCAGATGGATGGCTCAGCTGTTATCTTCGAGAACTGCAGAGACACAGATAGGGCAGGACACCATCTCCATCTGTACAACCAGAGGATGTCCACAAGGAGGAGTTCTATCCCCACTAATGTGGAGCCTAATCGTAGACGAACTTCTATGCAGATTGACTGACCTCGGCATACCCTGTCAAGGTTATGCCGACGACATAGTCATATTTGCTAGTGGCAAGTTTAGTAATATCCTGTGTGATATAGTCCAAAGAGGACTAGAACATACCAAAAGATGGTGCCGTGAAGTGGGACTTAGTATAAACCCTACAAAAACAACACTAGTAGCCTTTTCAAGGAAAAGAAAACTTAATCTCAAAACCGTTAAATTAGACGGGATAGATATAGAATGGAAAAATGAAGTCAAATATCTAGGCCTAACCCTGGACAACAAACTTCTCTGGAACACACATGAGAAGGAAGTAGTAAATAAGGCCACAAAAGCCCTAATGGTATGCAGAAACATGGCGGGTAAACGATGGGGATGTAACCCAAACATACTGCGATGGATGTATACTGCAATAGTGAGACCAATCATCACTTACGGGGCTATAGCCTGGAGTAACAGAACTAGTTTAGTTACTACGAGAGCTAATATCTCAAAAGTACAAAGACTAGCCTGTGTTTGCATTACTGGTGCAATGAGAACCTGTCCTACGGCCGCAATGGAGGTGATCTTAAACCTCACCCCTCTACATTTGATGATAGAGAATGTGGCAAAAAGGACACGATATAGAATGATCAGGAGCGGAGTAATCAGACGAAAGTCTACTTGCTTCAGGACTAAAGATACCTGGGACATGCCCCAGGATGAAATGCAAAAGAAGTACAGTTTTGTGAAAAACTTCAAAACCACAGAGCTGGGCTGCAAGAAAGAATGGAGCCAAGAATCCATCGCGCTTGCAACCGAAAGACGTGCTATTCAGTGGTACACGGACGGTTCCAAAACCATAGAAGGAACTGGAATAGGAGTGTATGGGCCGAGAACCAAGCACTCCGAAAGCTTGGGAAAATACCCAAGCATCTTCCAGGCGGAAATTCACGCCATCGAGAAGTGTATCCAGTTTAACATCGAGAGAAACTATCATAGACAAGAGATTATCATCATGTCCGATAGTCAAGCAGCCATCAAAGCGCTGAGTTCTTACGTAATCAGCTCAAAAATGGTATGGAGATGCCTAGAACAATTGAATGAGCTAGGCGAGAAAAATAGAGTTACTCTCACTTGGGTCCCGGGACATAACGGGGTACAGGGTAACGAGATTGCAGATAGTCTTGCAAGGAAAGGGGCTCAAACACCCTTTGTAGGACCTGAGCCGTTCTGCGGTATCAGCAGTAACATAATATTAGAAGAGATTAAAAAAGAATTGGGTAGTAGAAGAACCGATAATTGGAACAATCTTTTGGGGCTGAGACAGGCCAAGATACTTCTGGGTGAATATAACCAAAAAAGATCGGAAGCCTGCATCTGCCTGAGCAAGAACAGGCTACGTATTGTAACAGGGATCCTTACCGGGTACTGCCGACTAAAAGGACACCTAAGTAAACTGAGAGTAGTAGAGGATAGTGAGTGCAGATTCTGTGAGGAGGAGGACGAAACCTCCATTCACATCCTAACTGAATGTGTAGCACTCCAGAATCCAAGGGCACTATATCTAGGAGGATATCAAATAGAAGAGGGAGACTTACCTAACTTGAAGCCACTTCAAATTCTACACTTCCTTGAAAAAATAGGATTGGAAGGGTCGCTATAGGCATTGAGACATTTCCTTAGTGCAGTGGCGACAGAAGGGGGCACAATAGATCTTTTAGGTCGCAGTGTATTAACACCCCATTATCAACATAACATAACATCTGTTATTTACGTTTGGAGAAAAACATTGTTTAAATAAAAGTTACTTCTAATATTATTATCTATAATTTTTGCTTCATGTCAAAATATCCTGAAATGGTCCGTATTCGAGAAATTTGACAAAATGTAAAAAATTATGAGTTTTAAGAAAATTGTTGAATTAAAAGATGTTTGTCATATCGATCTCTATAATTTTTGTTTTTTACATGATTTCTCTAAAATGGACCATAATGGAAAAATTGAAGGAAAATTATAAAATTTAAATTTTTCAGAATTTTCAAGTTAGATGTATGTGGTAAATGTATATATTAAGTTAACCTCTAAATATTTACAAAGGTGCTACAATAGGTTGTACAAAACAAGTATTAGAAATTAAAAATTTAAAAAAACCGACTTCAAAAACGTGCAGATGCCGTCACCACATCTTAACCAAATTTATATGGGACCACCCCTGAGATATCCCCTTACTAACAAAAAAAGAATCATATAAATCGGACAAGGTGGTAAAGCATTATCGCTAAACATACATAAAAAATGAAAAGTTTGAGGATTTTCTCACAGACCCAATTATTATATTTTGACCAAATTTATATGGAACCACCCCTGAAGTACCCCCTTTCTAACAAAAAAAGAATTATTGAAATCGGACACGGTGTTGAAGAATTATCGCTGAACATACATAAAAAAAAAAAAATATCGCGACGAATTGATAACCTCCTCCTTTTTTGAAGTCGGTTAATAACCGAAAAGAGCCCGTAAAAACTAGATAGGAAAGTCATGTGTTGGACACATCAGATTTTTCCATGATGTCAGTTAGTCTTATTGCAATACATTTCTCGTGAAAAAAAAACAATATTTCTTGTTTCAGATGTTCTAAAACCAACTTTAAAAAACAGCAAAAAATTTATTCGTTACTCCCGAAATTGTAATTTTAAAATTATACGATAACTTTGGTGCGCAGTCTAGTTTAATAAGAGTTTATTTCCTTTGAATGAATCACATCCATATCAAAAAGCAAGAGTTTTGTATTATCTCATTAATGCTATACCAAAATTTATATAAAAGAGGCACAACTGAACATAATTTGTACACCCCTAGTGTATCATACTATAGTTCAATATATATTTGGTAGATCAACAGAGTGAACGTTTTGATATAAAAGAAATGAAAATCTGATAATTCATTAACTTCAATTTCATTGGTCCATTTAAAAGCTAAAGAACTCTGAGTGTTTTAATTATAGTTTGGTTTTACGAGTACCCATTCAGTAACTTCTAAAGAATTACCTTGTCTAGAAATATAATATAATATGTAAATCATTATTTCAGTTACCTATTATGCAACTGTCAATTTATTTTTACACATCATTTTTGCTAACAGAACTTATAGTGGATTTTATTTGTTGCACTAAGTGTAAGTGTTCTGCACTAATCGCATTTGATTTGTTCAGTGCAGCTTCAAATATTTGAGTAAACCATATATTTTTTACAAGTATGGCAGTTCGAATAGAGTACGAGTGTGACACTAGTGCAACAAATAAAATCCACTATTACATATATCCTCATATTTTGCACTTGAAAACGTTCTCTAAGGGGAAACAGAAAGCGATATTGAATGAATCTCTACAATATCAAGATTATTATTGCCTGTAACACTCACCACTTTATTAATAAATACTTTCTAGGCAAATAAAAACTAAAAAAAATTGAAATTACCTGGATTATATCTATCCAAACATGTATAAAAATCTCCATGTTTACAAAGTGTACCGCTACCCCATCTATCATTGGTAACAATATCATTTTTCACAGGACTTTCGTTGTACAGCCATGCCAAAAATTTAGTCGCAGTCCAATAACTATCTGGTGCTTCCCATTCGCCATCAGACCATAGCACGGATGGTTTGTAAGTTTGTATAAGTTCGTGCATTTCCGGTAAGATTTTGTTGTAAACAAATTCTTGCTTAGTCCAGTTACTTTTCTTGTCCGATAAGTACATGGGATTGAACCATTCGTAAAGAGAATGGTATAGTCCATATGTTAGGTTTTCTGCTCTTACTGCATTACCTAGTTCTCCTGAAAAATACAGAATTAACGGACCATGATAGTAATGATGTTAAAACAATATTCGAAATAAATTTTGTTTCAAATCAAAACAATTTGACAGAGGTAATGTTGGAACTGTCACTGGATCGTCAAGCAAAAAGACAACATTGAACGTTTTAACAACTATGGCAGCTATTGCAATGTTGATTTGTTTTGTTTGAATTCAATGATATGTGACTGTTTGAATGGTGGATATTATTTTAACGACTTTCTTTTATGAAACGAAACTAATTCTTTAATTAAATAATGCAATTTAGTCTTATTGTCTTAATGAAGATGTAAAGCATGATATAGAAACAAAAATTAAAATAATTTAACTGGTTCACAATTTTACTTCAAATATCTAGCATTGCTGCTTTTAATACATGAAATAATGTTGTTGTAGGAACTACATAATATATCTGTATTTTTTGATGGCTGAATTTAAGTTCTCATTATTTAAGTCGCGTCACCCTATTGTTTTAAAGAGTTGATTTGACCAAAGAATATGCCAGTCAGTTTTATGTTCTTGTTCTCATTACAATTTTTGTGAGATTTGAACCGTACAGTCCATCGATGCAGTCCAAAACTCAACGTGAAGTGTCCAAATCTGGCCTCTCTTCTCTTGTCTTCTTTTGTCTAATGTGAAGATGAAGAGCGAAATGAGCAGATTAAATCTTGCCTTTATATCAGAATACTGCGTTTTGGCATGCAGGCCATAGCATGTAGGACCTCCATTAGACAAGTCATTCATCTAACCTCGTGCTATGAAGGTGTTAGCGTTGTTATCAATGACCTAACATAAAGACCAACGTTTAGATTGATATAGGTTCTGTTTCATCATCGTCAACTATATTTTGGTTGTTACATTGTAAGGATATTTAAGTAAATCCTTGATCTGTAACCTTCAGATTCCCCTGGCAAGATGATCAGTAATGAGAATGTTTTTCGTTCTATGACGTACTTTGCTCCATTTTTCTTTTCATTAATTTTTCTTTCTTTAGATTGTATTTCATATATTTCTAGTTTATTTATGATCTCAACCTCTAATTAGTTGTACCTACACTGTAATAAAATATTTTAAGTATCAAATTTACCAACGATATCTCTTCCTGGGCCGATGTCAAGAGAGTTCCAACTGTAAGAATATTTTGAAGGCCACATAGCATATCCTTCATGGTGTTTGCTGGTTAAAACAACGTATCTATAAAAAATACAAATATTATGGATAATAAACAATTCTAGATGAATGAAAAATGAAATAGTAATAATAATTTTTACGGTACATAGTTTGTTTATGAAAAGACAAATGGGAAAGAGGAGGAGAAGGAGATGAAAAAAAAAAGATGAAAAAACATGTTAATAGAATAAGTGAAGAATTTTAACCACTCTTAAAGACGATTTTCTTTAAATTGGTCTTCTAGAGCACCTGATGGAATAAAAATATCATTTAAAACATTCTAAAAGAGTGGTTCTTTTTTAAAGATTGACGTCTACAAGAAAGGGAAACAAAGACATAAAAGAAAAGCTATGAAGAGAATGGCATTATAAAAGCGCTACTTTTGGAATGGATCTGTTATATTTTTATAAAAAAACTTACAAAAATAGTAAAAAAATCAGATAATGGTTTTCAATATGAGATAGAGAAGGAATATCGATGAAATGACGCAAGATGAACTAAAAGAAGTTATAAGATAAATGGTACTAACAAACTGGAAAATTAAATGCAAAAAGTGAATAGAGAGAAAAAAGATAACATATAAAGCCAGGAAAGGAGGCATAAAAATACGTAATATGTGACAAAACGTTATATAAAATCTCTGAGATTGAATGATGACCTCCTGATAAGTAGGTAAAATCAAATAAAGTAGTCAAAGATCTAAAAATGTTATTCATTCCATTTATTGGTTGTATTTTTATTACCTTGCTCCTGATTTTCTGAACAATTCAGCCCATTCTGATGCATTGAAGAATTCAGCAGTGAATTCTTTAGCAAATTCTTGATATGTGAATTTCGGAGGATAATTTTGCTTCATAAATTCAACTGTTGATCCTCCACCTGGAACAACAATTTTGTACTTTAAATTAGATATTAAATGCGTTCAGCATTTTGTTAATAATAAGTATATAGGGTGTCCGGAAATTGCGTGTATATGGAGAAACACAGATTTATGGGCTCAAAATAAGAGCTAATAAGGGCTAAGAAGAGCAATATAAAAAAAGAAAGTCTGGTGCTGGATTTTTTTAAAATTAAATTATGTCTTTGATTATCCTAAGAGAGTGTAACTTTAGTACAAAATTTTATCAAAATATCTCTAGCCGCTCAAACAAAATGACCGACTTTAGTTTTGCCAAAAATCATAAAACACCCTATATCTCCGAAACGAGTGAGATTAAAGGTTAAGTATGGGAGTGTTTTGAATTCTATACTCTATACTCTACCTCCCATCTAGCTGTGTCCGTTTAAATCTGAAACACCCTGTTATGTAGTGTTTAAATTATAAAAAATTAAAACTATTTCACCGATTAAATCAAGGAAATTTTTATTTATATAAAATTCTACGACGCACACTGGGGCAACAAGCCATCAAAGTTGGCAATAAATCACAGACTCTCTTTATGAATTTGTAAGTTAAATATTGCTTTGTAGAGGTGTTAGTATTATAAATGAAAATACATAGAGGGCTTATAAACTGTTTGCTAAAAAAAAAAAAAAAAAAAAAAAAAAAAATAGAAAGTTATTAAGAATATAATATAATAAAAATGTATATTCTATTTAGCCCTCTATGTATTTGCTTTTGTAATACTAACATATAATATAATAAAAATGTCATGGACCTAATGAGGCCTAAGTGCCGTGGGAGTAATCCACCCTCCACACGTTAAAGATACAGATAATAAAAATGTAATATTATAATAATTTCATTTAGAAAAGCTATGATAATTGTAATCAAATTTCATCCTCTTTAGATTGTGATAAGACATTTTCTTCATCGTCTCCACGGTCATCATCAGTGTCATGAATATACCATGGTTATGAAGCTGAACGAGTCCAGATTTAAACAAATGTACTGCCTTTTAGGAAAGTGCTGCAGGTTCTTTCTTTTTTAATTTTCGTTTGCTCGTGATTACAAGGTCGAAACTAAGTAAAAACGAATTAAAGACGTCCTCATTAGTTTTCTCTGTTAATTGTACTATAGGCAACAAAGCAGAATATATTATTTCAGGTCCATGTATAAAGTATTTGTGCAATGTCGGAGGCATATTGACCGTGGGTACTTTTCAAAAAAGTATCTAGCGGTGTTGTGAGCAAATTCTATTAAATTTCATTCTTTCCAGAACTTCTCATGACATTAAGAAGTTTCTTTCTCGACAAAAACATAGTGTTCAACCTCGTTCCTGAAATAAAATAAAAAATAAATTAAATTGTTATGTGCGAAACACTGTTGTTTTATTTTTACCGGGTGGGCTATAAAAAACTGTATTTTGTTTTTATTTTCATTTTTTAAATAATAAACCGATTTTACTGTTCTTAGGCTCCATGTTATAGATAACTAACTATGCTCCCAGATCTACCAAAAATAAACTAGCTCTAAATCGACCCTATATTTGAATTAGGTTTGCCATCCTGGAATTTAAAATTTCCGCCATTTTAATTTAATGGTCGGAAAGTATATTTACATACCTACCAAATCAGACCAATTGAGTCCAAATCGGTCAAAAACTAAAATAGCAGCTTTGCAAAGCATAATGATGTGTTATTATAAGCTTCTATGAAAACATAAAAACCAGACAACTTTGATTGACTATATCTTACGATTGAATGGACCAATCGTGCTCGGAGAGGTCTTAAAATAAAGAAAATAGGTTAGATATTTAACTTTTGTTATTAGATTTTATATTTAATTTATAATTATTACGCAAAACGAGCTTAAAATGGGTTACTTTTAGGCTCGTTTTTTGTTTCTTCAGTTAGGTCGGCCATCTTAAATTTTACATTTCTGGCATTTTGTTATGTCTGTCTGGAAGCATATTTAGTTGCCTATAAAATGAGCCTAAGGACAATAAAATTGATTGATTAATAAACGAAATATATTAAAAAAGACAGAATTCGTTTTCGACGATCGTCCCGCCATATATTTATATACTTTGAAAAAACCCAAATAGTGAAGAAAAGTGCAAATAAGTGCACAGAAACTAAACGATTTCGAAAAGTACGAACAATATTCATTATAAAAAGTCGAAATTTAAAGCTTGGACTGCTTTGGAACATAACAAATAGCCTTCATGTATTTAAGAATATTTTAAAATTTTAACGTTTAACCTTCATTTTACTTAACCCCAATATTATAAGATTACGTTTATTTTTCTACATTTTTTACTTATTAAAATAATAATACATAGCTGAACTTAAAGGCTCGATGGCGGAAATTTGAAAATAAAAAATCAAAATACAGCCTAAACACAACACAAAAACAAGTTAAAAACTACGAAATAACAATGAATATATACTCGCCTCAAATAAGTAACTTCGACTGAGGGTGGTGATAAAACGCGTGAGACAGAAGATCGCACTTGTTCGTTTTATTATGTAGTGGAAAGTAATATATCAGAAAAAAATATGAGGTAGAGTGTAATATGCTATTTAATTTTTTTATTTATTGCCAAATTTGAGGGCTTCTTACCCCAGTGTGCGACGGTCAGGAAATTATCCTTATTTAAATTTTTATATTGTGATCATAAGCGTCTCATCAGGGGGAAGGCAGCGAATATTTTCCCTCATTTTTTTATTTGTAATTTTTTGATATTTATGGCATTAAAATAGGAAACTATGAAATTTTACTTTAAAAAGTCACTCTCATTCGATGTCGCCATTATGTATGTGTTTATTTCAGGCAAATCAAACAAACTGGGCTTTACTTCCTTTTCTTTGTTCTTAATAACACTATTACTATAAATATAGAGATAAATCGTTACTATACTTAAATATCTTTTAAAAAGGAGATTTATGATTAATTATTAAAGTTAATTAACTGAAATCACATTCTCAATATTTTTGTTATTAAGTAATAAAGACTTTTTTTAAGTATTAATAAAAATATATAGATAATAAAAATTGTACAATTAATTTATATTCATTAAACTTAAGATTAGAACATGAATTAAAAGAATAAGAGATAAAAATTAGTCAAAACAATTTTTCATATCATTATTAAAAAAGACATTTTGCATTTTTCCTTCAGTTTCTATTTTACCGTCGATTTTGGAGAAATAATGAATAAAACAAAAATTAATAATATGGTAATTTTAGGTAAATTTATTTTGTATTCTACTCGCATATAATGATTATTACTTACTCATTTCAACCGCGTGAATAACACCTACTATATTATACAGTGTGTCCACAGATGGAGTTCACAAAAGAAGAAAAATTGTCATTACTTTTACGAAAAAAAGAAATTCTAAAAATTCTGCTTATCGAGAAAATAAAATTATCATATAAAAATCTTAAATCAGATGTATAGGGTGTTAATAAATTAATAAAACAAGAACACGTTTCAAGGTAAAAATATCATTATTTATGGTTATATAAAAAAAGACTGGATACAAATTCTAAAATCAAAAAAACAATTTTTTAAAATAATCCTAATGCATTTGTGTTAGTATTTTCAGAATTTTGCAAAAAATCAAGATAGTCAATTTAGTAAACGATTTTTGATTCTAAAATTTGTATTTATGAATTAAACTTCTTTTATAAAAATTTTGCTTTAAATAATTTAAATATTAAAAAAATTTACTCTAAAAATATTTGGAGACTTTATATCAGAATATTCTGGAGGATAAATTAAAAAAATAAACATAAGATTGTTATTTTAAGGAGCACGCCTTTCTCATGAACTGTGTCATATGTTATTCTCCTACCTTCCGTCATTCTAACCAATACAATTTAACTAGAAAAAGTATCGAGTATGACCCATTATTGCAAAAGTAATTTTATTGGGAATTCAACAACATGACTGATCATTATGGTACTTTTTATTTTAACGCCCTCTAGCGGAATAAAAAAATATCTATAATAAAGTGTGACACTTCATTTGAAAGCTAATTTTGTTAGTAACTTAATTGAATAGCAAATATTTTCTATTCTGTTTGAATAAGACTAAAGTTTACGTTACAAGCTTTTTTAATTATTCATGTTTCCTTCAATTGTTTCTTTATACTGTGCATTAAATTACTATTAAAATTGATTTCGTATAAATGTACACACTTTATAATAAATAACAAACATAATCCTGTAAAAAACGATAATTTTTAGCCACTTGTCTAAAAATAGGGGTTAACCAAAACTATTTACATAAATATTTACCTTTCCAGTTGGACCAAAACCACTCGGATCCAAAACTAGGTACCGAATACACTCCCCAATGTATAAATATCCCAATTTTTGCTTCATCATACCACTGGGGCAAGTCCCTGTTGTCCAAACTATTCCAGTTTGGTTCAAATTTAGCTGCTTGTAAATTATGCCCGCTTAAACAAACTAAGCACCAAAATAACGTCCACCCGACCATACTGAATTGTAAACAGCGAATAAGATACAGGTGTCATATTTGTTGATTAGTTGGTTGACCCTTACTAACACTAATCAGCATTATTTGTTTATAACACTGGCGTGCAACGACATGGTTGTTATTTTTTTCTGGGTCAGTTGGAGTATATTATACATTATTTGATGTTTTTATATGTAGAATAGAATATATTTGGAAATTAAAATGGAAATTTGTGACGAATTTAACAGTCATAAAAGAAGTATTAAACTAGTATACAGGGTGTCCAGAAACTCTCTTCAAATGAAAAAGGGCCAAATCTAGAGCTCATATTATGTTGATATTACCTAAATTACTTTAATCCAATAATATTTCCTCATAGAATTTCAAAACTGATTTATGTTAAATGATATACCATTCTGTACCTTTATTTCTTGGAATCTAACCAATCAAAATGCGTAATTATGATTTTGTTATAAGTTATAAGCGGCTCGTTTGGGTGGGATATTAGATATTTCTATATATTTTTTGGTATTTTAAAAAGTCGCCACTTTGACATGATATTTAAAAAAATATCATCATTTTCGCACAAAAATGACGCTCTTTTCTGAAGTCACCATGACGAACCGTTTTGGAGAAAAATCGATTTAAACTTTTTAATTGTCTTAAGTACCTACATATAACAAATAAATTTCTAAATTATGATAAGATCGAAGTTGTTGGCCTATATCCAGGACCGTACATAGGGGGGTACGGCCGGACCAGTACAAAATACCGGGGCCCGGCACACGGCATGTATTGTCGTATACTAGCTTTCAGGATATAATATTGTTGTTTAGCCGTGGTGACAAAGAATAAATATTTATTTGTTTTTAATATTAATAATAGAAGCTAAAGATTGTTTAGTTATTTTGTATATTTTGTGCGATACAGATGGAATAAACAAATATGTGTTCTTATTTGTTTTTTTCTTTTAATTAAACTACCAATAAAATTTTGCTCGAGGCGTTGTTTTAATCATTTTTGGGACAATTTGAATGTAGCATCCAAAAATGGGGTAATCCCTAACTTTAATAGGGTCCGGCGGGGTGGTAGTACTGGGGTGCTCCACACGCCCCTGATCAGCACAATAATCTTAGCACAACCTATGCGGTCCTTATAATTTTGTAATTTTTTTACGGCGTTTGTGATTTTTGTCTGAAAAAAATGGCCTTTTAGAGGCACTCTATATATACTGTAACGATAGTTACAGGAAATGGTCCAGCAATATCTAAGGCGATCCTCTCAAATGGGCTACCAACGTTGTATTGCTTCATGGAAGCTTTAATTTTTTGTTGAGTTCCATTACTCATAGCACACGTGGTACATTTCTTACACCAGTCCTTTACATCCAGTAAAACCTTTCCCGAACTCTCTGAAGAGTTTTCCTAACACCGAGATGTCCTCCTGATGGACTGTCGTATAACAGACGGAGTACTTCAGCTACTCTATTTCTTGGAATGACCATCATAATTTTCAATTACTCGCTTTAGTAAGCCATCTTCCAGTATAAGAGAGTCCCACTGAGCTAAATATGACATGTACTGGAGAGAGATTAGATACTTCTTGCCAAGTAGGTCGACAATTTTCCTCTTTCCATTTTCGCATCTTCTTTAAAATGGTATAATTTTCTTGTTCTTCCCTAATTTTAGCAGGGGCCCACTCATCGTTGACTGCAGTTGTTCTAAGTAATCCACTTTCTTTGGATTCCGCTTTGTTGCAGTGGGAGAACTCTGTTGGACATAGTCTTCTAGAGAGAGAATCGGCATTTCTGTGACTTATTTCGGCTCGATGTTCAATCTTGAAGACGTACTCTTGAAGTCGTTCAATCCATCTGACGATTTAACCCTCTGGGTTCTTAAATTGCATTAACCACTTAAGGGCTGCATGATCGGTTCGGATTAAAAATTTCCTTCCATACAGGTCTTGGTAAAAGTGTTCTACGAACTTTACAACTGCCAGGAGTTCTCTTCTTGTGACGCAGTAATTTCGTTCATTTTTCGAAAGCACTTTACTAAAATAACCTAGTACTCTTTCTTTCCCTTCCTGAATCTGTGAAAGCACTCCTCCAATTCCCACATTAGTAACATCAGTATCCAGCATAAATTCTCCCTCTGGTAGTGGATAGCCTAGTATTGGTGCTGCTGTTAAATGCTTCTTTAATGTTTCAAAGGCAGTTTGGCAGTCCTCGTCCCAGCAGAATTCCCTCGCTTCTTCTGTGAGTCGTGTTAATGGCTTAGCAGTATTTGAAAACTTCCTGATGAATCTTCGAGCTAATTGACGAATCGGCCTGGCGTCACCAGTTTCAATTTTGTGTTTTACCACAGAAGTTCTTCCTGTTTTTCCTGCTTTTGGTACAAAAATGTCACGATATCGTCGAAGAAATTCCTTTATTTTCGTTTTCTCTAATTGATTTAGAGATTGACCAGCAACTGCAATCATTTGCTCGAATTTGTCGTTGGAATTATCAGAAGTTGTTGTCTGGCGAATTATGGAAGTTACTGGTACACAAGTTCCAACTTTGATCACTCTGTTCTTAAAGTCCAACTGGAAACCATGTAAGTTCATTACATCTATTCCAAGAATAACATCTTCTTCGATATCAGCGACAATAACAGTATGAGTGAACTTTTCAGTACCAATTCCCAATTCAACCATGGATGTTGGCACTTTCACAGTGGAAGTCCGGAGTCGCAATCTTGTTGGTAGAAGTTTCTTGCGTTTTTTATAGTTTTTGGTCGTACAATAGTTCTAATTGCTCCAGTATCCACCAACAGTGTATAATTTTTACTATTTACTTCGCCGTCTACGTATACACTATCATCGCGACATTTCAAAGAGACTATCATAATGGAAGGGTCTTTGGAACGGTTTTGGGTCGAAGCTGCCCCCTCTAGGCCGACCCGCTCTAGTTTTCCTGCATCGTGTTGTCTTGATTCGTTGTAGCCCTTGGACGTTTGCATGAACTGCGGACATGTCCTAGTTCACCACAATTTCAGCACCTGATAGTCTTCGTCTTTATCTTTCTGTCAGTAAGGCTCTTCATCATGTTTACCAGTTAGTCGAGTTTACCTTCCTCTTCTTCTTCTTCTTCTTCTTCTTCTTCTTCTTCTTTTACAGTCCTTACTTTATTGTATCCACCAGAAACCTGCGTAACAGCCTCATATTTTTGACAACCTAAGTGGAGTGTTTTCTGCATCTCGTGGTCACGGAGTCCATCAACAAATATTTGGACTGCCAAACATTCCATCACGTTTTCTGGAGCTGATGGATAGGCAAATCGCACCAACCTGGCTTTATCTACTTCATATTCCTGAAGAGTCTCGTCTCGTTTCTGTTTACGATTCTTTAACTGTGACTGGTATAAATGCTCCAAATGTTCGTGGCCATATCGCATGTTAAGTCTCTTTTTTAGTTGTTCAAAATCATTGGTTTCTTCCACAGGTATTGTCTGAAGAACATCTAAAGCGTCTCCTCGAAGGGCGATTGTCAGATTCACTGCCTTTTCTCGTTCAGACCATTCGTCTTTTTCGCAGCTGTTTCGAACTGCTTAAGGTAGTTCGTCCATGACATCTTCTCGTCGAAAGTTGGGGCTTTAACACGAGCAGAATTTACAGCTCCTTCCAATTTCAACTTCGACTCTACCTCATGGCACTTTATTTCACCGTCCTTGGCCGGTTCTGTATGTTTCAGTTCTTCTATCTTCTTTTCCATCTGTTTTATTTTCTCCTCAACGGAAGACATTATTTTTTCCTCAACAGAAGAAATTTCATTTTTTATAGAAATTTTGTTTTCCAAGTCGGAAGAAATTTCATCTTTTAAAGAAGAGATATCAGAGGAACCTTTAGTTTCTAAAGAAGAGATTTCGTTTTTCACGGAAGACATATCAGAAGACACCTTTTCTCCTAAGGAAGAAATATCAGACAAAACTTTACTTTCTAAAGAAGTAATGTCAGAAGAAACTTTAGTTTCTAAGGAGGAAAAGTCTGAAGAAACTTTATTTTCCATGGAAGAAACTTTATTAAAGAAGAAATGTCGGAGGAAATATCAGTTTTTGAGGAAGATATTTTACTTTCCATATTGGAAGAAATTGAAGAAATTATAGTAGAAGATAAATCATCAGAAAATAGATACGTTTCCGAATCCAAACCTTCATTTTCTATTGCTTCTTTAAGTCGTTCTGCTAGTTCTGCTTTCTTCACTGTCGTCTCCAACTTGCGATCTTCTAACTCCCGACGTATCTCCGTTACTTTTAAATCACACAGTCTTTTAGCCATTATTGTCCACTATTTATTTACACTATTCCACATATCGACACTAATGTTATGTTTGTTTATTTTAAACAACATTTCAATATTCAACCCAGCATATAGAGCGATTAAATAAATCGTAATAATATTTAACTTGTATTATATTTAGGGCTGTTCAGCTGTTCTACAAAGTTGATAATAATTCTTGTAAAATTATAAAACTATTGGAGCTAAGCAAAATTCTTAGAAATAATATCAAAAAGTAAAAGAGAACAAAAACAATTTGTATCGTATAAATTTATTGGTATTTTCTTTAGTTCATGAGATAATTGTAAATTTTTAAATTGTCACCCTAATTCATTTAATTTAGAAAAGCATTGACCCAAAATACAAGACAAAATTCTTCGTTTTTTATCTAGGAAGCGATGCTATCAAGTCTGTTGTAACGAGAATTCGCTATCCTGCCTCTCAGACATAAAACTAGTGTCTAACGTTTCTCGGGTCATTTACCAGATAAACGTTACGGAATCGCCTTTTGTCTTAACGACACCTTACAGTCCCTTAGCGTAAACGATACTTAAGTCGGTTCCAGGCTTTTATTGCGAATGCTCTCCACTTTTAGATAAAAGAAACTACAATTAAAAAGGGGAATAGTTGACCTCTTGTGTATTATCCTGTTTCGCTTTAACTGTTAATGTATTCTCGTTTTTCGTCATTTTAGAGTCTGGATAGGGTAATAGAGAT